CCGGAAATATTTGAAGGTCATTTGGTTAACAAAATAGTGTACACCCTTTTAGGACAACATAGGGGATAACGATTTTTTCCCAATTTAAGACCTTTTCCATAAACCGGAAATAAATGTTAAAAAAAACAGTTCTATAAAGTTGCGAAAAGGCAGCAAAAATATTTATTATTCCTCATCACTATTATATAATTTTCCATCTACTTAGTGTGGGTCTTAATTAACTGAACTTCTGGAGATAATGCCTCAAATTTCAATGCCCCGTTCCTATTAAAACATTTATTATCGGACTAACTCTTTGTTCATGGCTTAATGCTTATTCCATTCTGCATATCGCAAAACTTTCATTTGCTGATGGGAACTTTTATGATACACTCAAGATCAAATCATGGCTTAACTGTCAAAGATTTCACAGCAATTGCTCAATTAAACGCCTTTCGAAGTTTGCGTTTCAGTATTGTTTTAATTGCTCGATTGTTTATAGACAGCGTACAAATAATAAGCAGCGCACATTAAAAAGTTATTAAATTGCGGCGAAAAACGACAAGAAGAGACACTGCATTGGTTTGTACTCGTAATTTACTGTATTTTCACCTACAAAGCCAAAGAAGTCGCTGAAGATTTGCACAAGACACTCTTATGAGTAAACGGCTATGCGGGCAGGGAAGCGAGCAGAAATGTGCATGAAATACATACATATATAGTATATATCTAGGCATATTCGAATACACATATCAAAATTTAGCAGACATCAGTCATACCCGTATTTACTTGTATGTATGTGTTCGAGTGGCAAACAAACCGAAGTGGCAGAAGATGAAAAATCAACTTTAATTGGTTTACAATTCATTTCTTAAGCGAAAAGTCGGCCGGGCAAAAAGTAATGGAAAAATGTAACAAGTCGCAAGCAGAGAGCCGACGAAGAAAGCAAGTGGGGCAGTCTTGTACACCTCTGGTGTGTGCAATATCCATGAAGCGTCATAGCCAGCCATCATGCCAGTCGATGTGGCACTCCCGCACCCGTGTGCCTCTGCCAGTACCAGTACATCATGGTAGCAAGCTCGCCGAGCATCTTTAGGGAAAGCACACTGGTTTCAGAATAGCTCAAAAATATCTGCATAGAGTATAAAGGGGGAACTAGCAGAAGATGGCCCTGTCTGAGAAAGACATCTGTCGCATTCTCTGTTACCGACAATAAGCGAAGCAATCGTTTCTCAAATACAAAATGTTTCACATTTGGAACATGATGCTGGCACTTCAATTTTGATTGATAGATAAAGCAAAATACAAGCTAAAGAACGAGTCAATTCTCAATAAAAAACATATATTGTTTTAAAAACATAAAAAAAATGCGTAGACAAACAATTGAATTGCACTTTTCGAAATATGCTTAGAAGCATTTTGATCTCCAATTCTGGTTTTTTACCGGGCATTAACATAGGCGTTCAAGTTGCGACTTCGGTTGAACGCTTCACTTCACTTTTTGAAACACGACAGCTATCCCTTAGAAACCCCATTGAAAGTGCAAAGCAATTTGCTTCCATCAGACACACTTACTTATATGAGGACCTATAGAATTAGAAATGAAGTTGATGAACTTTTTCGCCAGCTGCAGCCCACTGTGCTGTGTGAAAAGTGATGAGATGAGCAACAACAACAACTGGTAACAAAATGGTAACAAATGCTGTCAGCTGATGGTTGGAAGAGTTGTCAGTTGCCAGTTACTGGAGCCATCAGCTCAGCAGCCTGGCCGGGCGTAACAGAGAAAAGTTTGTTGCTCGTCTGCTTCAGCGTCGGCGTCTGTGTCTGCGTCTGCGCCATTTCTTCAGCGCTAATTTCACCCGAAAAACAAAACCAGCAGCAAAAAAAAAAAAAAAAAATAGCTATTTGCGCTAGAAGTCTGCTCACAAGCTCAGAAAGAGTTTAATCGTGTGCAGGCCGCGTCGAGGAAATGTTCGATGCTGGCTATAATTGTGCAGCAAGTGCCGGCGATGTTTGAAAAGCGAGGCGGGTGTCCAGAAGATGCCACTATGCCAGATATACATACATACTTGTACATACATAGATACAGATGCGGATGCTGACCAACTTTCAATTTCGAGCGAATGCTAATCAAGTGACAGAAAAATCACAAGTGATTTATGCACATACAAATGTGTTTGTATGTGTTTGTGTGCGTGTGTGTGTGTGTGTGTGTGATATGCAAATAAACGGAAGCATAAAACAGTAAACACAGCAACAACAACAAGCAACATGAATTCAATTTCCAAAATCTCGCGCCTAGAATATGAATCGATGTTTGCCTTAGTTTTAATTTTTTTCATTTTTTTTCCTTCTTTCTTTTGTGTCAGACGCGTGTAACGGTATTAAGAAAACAAAAAAGCCTCATAAATATCAAGACAGCCGAGCAATAACAAAAGCAACCCAAACCAGTTGAAAGAATAAATTATAATAAAGACTCAACGAAAATAAAACATTTGAAAAAGTTACAGCAGTTACAAAAATTGTGAGTGTGTGTGTGTTTGTATGTGAAAAGAAAGAAAAAACGAAAGTAAATATTTGGACTGTAAGTAAAGGCAAATAAAAATATATGTATGTATATACTGATCGCCCAATTTCTTAAGCACAAATATTACCACACGTTGCACAAATGAGCAAAAAGGCACAGCAAAAAAAGAAAAAAAGCAATTCTTTTGTGAAAAATAATGTTTCAACTGCAAGTTTTCGAATGCATTTTTCTGCCACGTCCACAAGCACAAACGCAAAAAAACACTCCCCACTTACACCGCCCCCTGGACACACTCTTTCCCCTCTCTTTCTCTCATTCTGGCTGTGTAGCTACTTCTCCACCATCAGCGTTAAGAAGGGCCTCTTAGGTCGCATGACCACAAGTCTGACTTCATACCGTCGCAGCAAACAGAAGAGCAAATCCAATAATGATATACACACCATTATCGCCACCGATGTCAACTGTGTAACCGCAGCGATACTTCATAGCCGAAGCAGCAGTCGCAGTCGCAGTCGAAGTCGTAGCCGCAGTCACAGTCACAGCGATATCGACAACGAAGTGGAGAACGCATCGGAAGCGGCGACCCTAAACGACAGCAATCAACAGCAATCCACGCAACAGCAACAACAACAACAACAACAACAATTCAGCGACGAACTTGCAGACCTTAGTGAGCTCATGATGGATGCCCATCAAAGGAAATCTCTGGCTGTTGCAGCGCAGGTTGATTCCAATGATGAAACCGAACCAAATGGGAACATCAATCTGACCACACAGGGTCGCAAGGAGCAAAACAATCGACGCAGTGTTGTAAGGTGAGCAACAATCGCTCCAATGGAGAGGAAGAAGAACACAAGGAAGAATATGTGGTGAAAGACAGAGGGGAAATGAAATCACCACCATTGTGGGTCATTGATCAGCGACATCAATAGCAATCCGCTATACCCGCTAGAAAAAGTGAAGCGCCATCAAAATATTGCGCTTAATATTTTTTCTCATTTATTTATTTATTTTTTTTTGAAGGCGGCTAGTGCCAACAACTTCCAGCAATCTGTCAATATGTCAGCTTCTTTGTGCGCTTTTTATGTAAACTTTTCTCCACACTTTCGTTCGATGTGCAATGCCGATACACATTTTCATTTAAATCACAATAATTTGCATATGTTTTCTGCCTACTATATAGTACATATGTGTATACATACATTTGTATAATATACAGATGCTTGTGAGTCGCTTGTGTGGGGTCTCTGATTCAATGTGCGTGCTTCATTGGTTCAGTTCATGCAGTCAATGTGTCAAGACGCGTATCATTCAAATAGACTGTTACTCGATGCTAGAGTTTCGATTGCTAAGTTGAAGTTGAAGGTCTCATTTCATTTTAACTAAACTAAGATAAATTGAACCGGACCCAGCCTGCTCAACCCTGGAAAACAGCACACTATTCTAATTCAGTTTGAAAATTTTAAGCTTAATGAAAACACAAAAGCATATTATTGGCCATTCTAATTGGTAAATAGTTGTTGTCGTTGTTGTAGTAGTAAATAGTTGAATCAATTCGAATTGGCTTTTAGAACTCAATTTTTAAAGCTTTTTACATTTGGGAATTTCCAAATGAATTCAATTACCATGATTAGCAAATCGAACAACAAATTTAATTGGATATTTTTCAGAGCCTTTCCACTTTATATTTACATCTTTAAGAGAGGTGATAGATGAAAAAAAAAACCCCCTTGCAACATATTTCAACTAAAACGAATGCCAATTATTCGAGTCGCAATCAACGATTGTCGATTATCTTTTAATTACACGTTCGCTATAGAAAATTTTTTTATTGGCATGCCATATAAACTAAAATATTAATGAAAATGTTGATGGATTTTTAATAATGACTATAATGAAATAGATTCCAAAAACGAGCCATAGAATTCATAGGTTTATTTTTATTTATTTTTTATTCATCTATTTATGTCCAATAAATAGGAAAATATATAAAAATTATAAAAAGCATCTTATAAGCTAGAAAAGCCTAAGAAGCAGAAATCTAATCAAATTATATGGGGGAATATGGGGGAATATTGTATTGCCTTTCGGCAAATATATATAAAACTAATTATAAAATAACACCTGCAGTAATTATCTTGAGAATTGCAATTTTATATTATACATATACATTCGTTTAAATTAAAAATAATATATAAATATTAGTAATTAGGAATATTTTGGAAAAAGTGCCTACAGCTATTGCTACCTATACTATTTTTGAACAGAAAAGTGTAGCTAAAGTCGTTATCTGTTCACTGTGCATTACATCGACCATGTGAATACGAAACAGGCTCTAAAGTTGGCTTATTTGGGAGGTTAAGTTGACTTGTGGTTTTATTTTACCCTCTGGGCGGCTTCATTAAACTGATTTGTAAACACTTTTTGGCTAAATGAACTAATTAAATTGTCTCTTTCGTTTGTGGTCGTGCCTCGTTCGTTCTTTGGATTGCAGCGCAAATACGCAAATGGACAATGATGTCACGCCCGTGTATCTGGCGGCGCAGGAGGGGCACTTGGAGGTGCTGAAGTTTCTGGTGCTTGAAGCGGGCGGCTCATTGTATGTGCGCGCACGCGACGGCATGGCACCGATCCATGCCGCTTCACAAATGGGCTGTTTGGATTGCCTCAAATGGATGGTAAGTGGATGGCAGCTTGGCAGCTTGGCAGCTTAGAAGCTTAGAAGCTTGGTTGTGAGGCCAACGTTAACGCCAACGCCAAAGGCGACCATAAAGAATGCGATGCAAAAATGCTTAAATTTTGTCTGCCGCTGCCACTTTTGAGGTCACAAAAGACTTGAAGGTGGATACGACCACGTACTCGTATGCTAGTTCCATATCCCCGGACAAATGAAAAGCCAAGCTGAGCTAGTTTCGCGTCTCGCTTAACAAATAGCTGCTATACCTAGCATCCTGCTTTAACTCCTACACTAAGAGGCAACAGTATATTGACCAAATTAATATAAAACCAATTCAAATAAATACAAATTATTTTTAGCTTCAATATATCACTAGGAAAATGAAAAATGGGCAATGTTAAATATCAGCAAAAGAAATACAGTATTTTAAAAGCTAATAATGGGACTTTTGCAAGAATTTGCAATTATAAATTAAATTTCAGTATGATTTTTAGACTGCTTTGTTATGCCTTATTTCTGAGTACCTTTACATTTTCTTTTGAACATACTACATAAATCAGAAATATAATACAATTATAGCCAATTTATTATCATTTTTGCAAACTTAAAAGGTGAAAATTAAAATATAAATAACAACAATTAAAATATAATTATATTTCTAATGTTGGTCTAGCATTTGCTGAACAATAATATAAACACACTTTTTAAAAAAGCTATTATGCAGATTTTTAATGCAACTAAAATCAGAAATATAATACAATAATAGCCAATTTATTATCATTCTTGCAAACTAAAAGAGGGAAAATTAAAATATAATTATATTTATAATGTTGGTCTAGCATTTGCTAAACAATAATAAAAACACACTTTTTAAAGAAGTTATTATGCAGATTTTTGATGCAACTTTCGTGGAGAAATAAATGTAGAAAGGCTTAAATGCGAGTATATGTGAGGCATTTTCGTCTGTCCACAATTGTCGACCACTGTAGAACAGGAGCAACATCGGGCACCCACCATTTATCATTAATAGACCGATCCGTTGAAATACAATATATAAAAGGCTTAAATATCAGACACTTCAGTCTGTCCACACACAATTGTGCAGCACAACAGAAAGCTCTTTTTTTAAGCAGATTAGGTTGAGCTTATCTCAATGGAGTATTTTTTCGTTTATAAAGGAAACTTGGCATTGAAGCTGTCCACACACAATTGTCGCCCAGTGTAGAACAGCAGGCACGTTCAGCATCCACTATGCACCATCCACCAATTGTATGGCTGATACGAGTCATAAAAATGTTGTTGCAATTGCTGCTGCTGCTGCTTGCTAACGGTTAAATGCTCCGTTACTGTTACTCTCTCGCCAACCAACCAACCAACCAGCCAGCCAGCCAGCCAGCGAGCTGTGCTCTTTTTTCGGTAAATGTGTCGCGGGCAAACGATTTATCAATTGCAATCGGCTTAGCATTTGCAGCCATTAGCATTTCACACACACACTTACAACCAATAGTATACTTACTACTCGTATACTCGTCCATGTATTCGGTCCATTAGGTGCCTAAGTATGCGAGCACACAATTGTCCATTGTGTATGGCCAATGTGATTAGAAAGTCAGGATAATTAATTTAAGCATTGCCACTTGAATCGGACATTGCAGAAATCTGCAAAGAAACTGCGCCTGCTAAATGAGAATTCTTCCGCCTTAAGTGCTCAGTTGTGGGCGCAAAGTTCTCTGTTGACGCGGCCTTGACTTCTGGCCGCGCCACGGCTTTGTTCCACACTGTTATGCGACCAGACTGCCAGGCTTCCTCTCGCAACCTGTTGCGATTGAAAGGTTGAATAATGGTGCTGATTTTTTGAGATCACGCCAGCTGGGACAAACTGGACGGCGCGCCACCGACTCGTCCACTCGTCGACTCGCAGGCTGCAATTGGTTTGCAGACAGGCAGGTTGGGTGCAAGTTGAAAATCACCTTTCTAAACTGAACTAAATACTTTGCATTGAGTTGGCGTGCGTGTGCGTGTGCGACTGCGAGTCTGTATGCGAAATGACTTTCCACAATTGAAAAGCGCAGTTGACATTAAACAATGGGAATAAAATAAATGGACAAACAAAAAAAATAAAGTAAATGCAACATTTCAATGAAACTTGTTTGCTAAACAAAATGTAACGAAATCAAAAGGTATAAAACAGCCTCCTTAAACGTCAAGCTTCGATTACTTTTGAACCAGATATGCTATTCCAATAATTTGTATAACATACGAGTATGTTGTCGTTTGTTTGTCTTCCAGTCTTTGATGTACAACCCATAGAAGGCATGCGACGAATATTTGGAATATTCCGAGAAAATACTTGAACTTGAACTCACTTTTTTTATTTATTAAATTCAATTGAAAATTGCAAGAAACCATAAGCTTAAAAATCAATCATTTTGGGTGAATAGAATGCTCGATCAATAAAGCAAAACAGTTGGTAGTCATCAAATTAAAATTTGGTGCAGAAAAAGCTGAGTCTTGAAGAGAACGCACTGGTCGTGCATTTTAGTGCCGATCAGTTGAAGAATCCACATGTTCTTTAAGTGCCAAATTTCTACCTAGTCTTCACAACACTCTATCGTCTTCCTAGCTGGGCCTTATCTGCCAAACTGAGTTCGTTTGCACTCCTACATATCTATCCTGGCGCTGGTGGGCGCATAATTGTGCATAGCATTCATCTTTCATTCAATAATAATAATTAAATAAACAACATAAATTATTGGATTGCTTCCACATGCCATATCTATAGTATTGTTTGCTTACGATATTTAATCGAGCTGTAATCTTTCAGGTTCAGGACCAGGGCGTTGATCCGAATCTTCGAGATGGCGATGGCGCTACACCACTACACTTTGCCGCCTCCCGCGGCCATTTGTCTGTGGTGCGGTGGCTGCTGAACCACGGAGCCAAACTGTCGTTGGACAAGTATGGAAAATCGCCGATAAATGATGCAGCAGAAAATCAACAGGTTGAGGTGAGTGGGCGGTGCCATAATGATCTCTCGATGATGTAATTAACTTTCTCGCTCTCTCTCCCCCCACCCCAATTACAGTGCTTAAATGTTTTGGTGCAACATGGAACATCGGTGGATTATAATAATGGACGGGGCGCGACTGGTAGTTCGGGAAGCGCTGTTGCTGACAAGAGTGTCTCGCAGCGACAACATCAACAGCAGCAGCAGCAGCAGCAGCAGCAACAACAACAGCAACAACAACAACAACATCAACTTTTGACCAACGGCAGCAGCTGCAATTCAAATTCGAGCAAGCAAACCAGTCGCAGCAATACCATCAAATCGAAATCCTCATCTACGCTAAGCTCCGATGTGGAACCCTTCTATTTGCATCCACCAGCGGTAAACGCCGCTGCTGCCGCTGGGCTCGTGACACGAAAGAATAGCGATGCCTTATACTCGCAGCACTCGCAACAGTCGCTTTCCTCATCGGAGAAACTCTACAATGGCGTTGGAGGCGGAGGTAGCAGCGCGATGTTGCCTAACGATGGACTCTATGTGAATCCGATGCGCAATGGTGGGATGTATAATACTCCCTCGCCGAATGGCAGCGTATCTGGGGAATCGTTTTTCTTGCACGATCCCCAAGAGATCATCTATAATCGTGTAAGGGATCTGTTTGTCGATTCCGACTGTAGCAGCGTAAAGCAACATCATCCGCATCCGCATCCGCACGCCCATCCACATCAGCAGCTTCATCATCAGCACGCCCCAAAAGCCGGCAATGCGCTCACCATACAGGCCGATGTCCATTCGAGTTCCAGCGGTGCAGGCAGCGGTTCCGACGAATCCGTTTCCATGTCTTCCAGTTTCAATTCACCAAAAAGCAACAGTCACAACCATCATCATCATATGCGCAGTCAGAGCTTCAATAGGCATTGCAATAATAATAGCAACAGCAACAGCAACAGCAACAATAACAACAGCAACATTAGCAGTGGCAGCAACAAAAACTGCAACAACAACAATGGCAACAACAACTACAAGCACCACAAGAACCTGGTGACCAACAATAATAACAATAACAGCAATGGCAATAATAATCATGATCATGACTACGAAGATATTTATTTGGTACGTGAAGAGTCGCGCAAGCAGCATTTGCATCAACATCAGCAGCACCATCAGCTGCAGCACCAACAGCAACAGCAGCAACATCAACAGCAGCAACAACAACAACAACAAATGCAACAGCAGCAGCACAATAAATATAATGTGGGTCGCTCTCGTTCCCGAGACAGTGGCTCGCATTCACGATCGGCGAGCGCCAGTTCGACACGCAGCACCGAAGTGGTTCTCCAATATAGCAACCATGTGAGTATTGAACATCTAAAGCAGGCAACGGGGGATCCCCCTTCATAAATAAATACTTTTTATGCCCTGTACCCGTAGGGTAAAAAGGGTATATTAGGTTTGTGCAAAGTATGTAACATGCAGAAGGAAGCATATCCGACCCCATAAAGTATATATATTCTGAATCAGCATGACGCGAGAAATCGATCTAGACATGTCCGTCCGTCCGTCCGTCTGTCCGTCTGGATGAACGCAATGATCTCAGAAAAGCTAGAATAACCAAAGTTGGTATCCAGATTCTCCTATGTCCGAGAAAGGACGAGTTTATTTTCTTTTTGGAATTTCGCCCCCCTTTCCCCGCTACAGAATTTCGTCAATAGCGTCCACATTTCAAAAGTTACAATAACCAAACTTTGCACATATCATTTATATAGTATATAATTATCTACTGTTGTTTAAATGTAAAATGTAATGTAAAATCATTCTCACGAAGAAACTCAAGTTGATTTTAAAGCTTATAATACAAATTCTTACATTTCTGCGAACATTGAAATATATCCTTATAGCCAGAATGGTCGTTCAACAATATTGTGTGCTTATAGTTAATACTTTAACTAGTTTTGAAAAAATCGGCCAACTTCTGTGAAAACAGGCGCTTAATGGCTAAATATATATTTAGGCAATATTCAGCAAATATGTAATATTTACAATTTTCCTGCTTTGTCCCAAATGTTTAGCACTTGAACAATAAGCGAGCCACCAGCGGCAGCAATAACAGCAACAGTAGCAATAACAATATGCTGAATCGCAATAAATCACACTCAATGATTGGACTGCACAGCAGCAAATACGAGTCAAAGGACAGCTATAGTGCGAAGAATGTGAATCTGAAGAATCAGCTGAACGGTGGCATCAAAAGTGATACCTACGAGAGCGTCTGTCCGCCCGAGGATGTTGCCGAACGCACCAAATTGTCGAACAAGAACTCAATGATTCGCAACAATCTGATTGATGCGGCCGCTCACAGCAACAGCAGCAACAATCTGAATGGTCATCATGGCAGCAACAACAACATCTATCAGTCGAACAGAAATCTGAAACGCGTCTCTTCAGCGCCTCCCATGCAAAACCTGGCAGTGGGTAAGTGATTCACAATTTCATTCCCGAATAAATGAATGCATTCGTAATTGTTAACTTTTCAGTTAATGGACCGCCACCACCGCCCCTGCCGCCGCCACTTCGTGCCGCTGTCCATAATAATTACAATTCGACAGCCGAGCATAATAATAATAATAAAAATATTAGCAACAACAGTGCATACAAGAAACACTCATTTGGAAATCACACGAACACTAATTCGAATCCTAATCTAGCCGCCCCAGCAGCTGTCGGAGGAGCTGTGGCTCCCGACGCTGTGGACTCTGACTCCGGTCTGGAAGTTATTGAGGAGCCCAGTCTGCGACCATCGGAGCTGGTTCGCGGCAATCACAATCGCACCATGTCCACCATATCGGGTGAGTAGGGCATTATGTTCCGATTCATTCGTTCAACTAACTTTAGTACGTAAGTTTATTTAAAGTCGTCATAAATCGAATGTAAATGTTTGTCTTTTTAGTCGAAAAACGAAAACCATTTCTCATTTCTTTTCAACCGATTTTCAATGAAAATTCAATCAGAATTTGCCAACATACTGAATTAGGATTCATTGTTTGAACTCATCACATATTTACAGTACGAAGACGTTGACACTAGAGCTTATTTCACATCTACTACTATTATTATTATTATTGCTGTACCAACAGGAATTAAAATTTTTAGTTGATTAGCTACATTACATGGAGCACAACTTTGATATTCACCAGAAATTTTATGAGCCTTAAGACTTGTATTTTTATTTACTGTTGGAGGATTAACAGGAGTTCTATATCCATATCCAATAATTTTTAAGTCCAGTGCAAAAATATAAATCTCGGCAGTCGATATTATAGAATAATCATAATAATAGAAATAATATAAAACGTATTCTAGGTGCATATAGTATATGTATATGATCAGAATCACTTCTCCTACCACACTACCGTGATCCAACTTTAAACGCAGACTTTCTTTCGAGTAAGGCAAAGAACCATTGTCATTTCAATATAAGTAGTTGAGTGTTTCAAAAACTTGTTTATTTTTTAAGAAATGTGAACCAAACTGCATAATGAGAACGTCTCTTCATTTAAAAAAATAGCTAAATATAAATAAATATTTGCCAAACAGCGTCCGATTTAAAATCGTTGTAGATAATAATAAGTAGGCATAATTTTAGGCATCATATCAGAGCTATATTTTAGTCAGGCAGACATTTTTAGCATTCCGGCTACACCCAAATTTCGGCTTACAAATATTCCCAAAAAACATTCCCTGCACCTCTATTTACCGACCAATTACCCAAATTGAAGTTTCTTGGCTAGCTGCCACTATTCGAAAACTGTCCACTATCCAGCCCATCACCTTGGATTTTGGCAAAGTTTTCGTTGCCCGATTGGTTATGAGCACTGATGAGACGAGTATTGAATGGTCTGAGCTAGGTGAGAGTTTTCAGAACAGCAGCAGTAGCAGTAGTTTTAAAACTCCGAGGAGCTCGTTAGATCGAGTCATCGCAGCCATGTACAGGCCCAAGACGGCCGAGGCGCGCTCACCGTCGCACGTTAATCAGAAGCCCAAAGATAATACCTATATTATATTCAGTCCTGGCAATCCCACATTGTTCTTGAACTCGTTGGATCCGATCTTGGCTACCGAGTCGGAGCGCACACTGCTGGACCGTCATCTGACGGGCGTTAAAACGGCCAAGCATGCGGGTCCCATGTGGCCCAATCCGGCAGTCCTCACAATGGGCATGCAATCCGCTTCGAATACTATTTCCAGGACATCCACAATGCCCAGCACAAGCGCTGCGGCGGCTGCTGCAGCAGCTGCCAACATATCGATATCCGCAAAGGTTGTGCCTTCCAGTCGAAAGGGTCGCATCTCTCGTATGCCACATGCCACCCCATCGACGATCCCAAACAAGTTGCGCCGAAAGCGAACGGTCAAGCATAAGCCGGAGCAGAACAATGTGATTGCCCAGCTAGCCTTGACTTTTGCCGATCCTAGCCGGCAGACCAGGACAAAGGAAAGCATGAAGAAGAAGAACTTGAACCTGGTTAAATATCCGAAATAGTGAACCACAAAATTGAAAGCTGAAAATTTAAGGAGATTATTTATTTATTTTACTACTTTATGTACAGCTATCGAAACTTTTCCAGATCAGCACAAACCCTCAATTGCAAGATTCGTGCTCAAATCCATTTAGAGAGGCCTAAATTCTGATGGCACGAATACCATTTACAGATGAGCTAAATATTTTGGAAATGATACATATTTTTAATACCTCGAATTGAAATTTTCAGTAAAAGTACTTTTACAAACAAAACCTTCAACTTAAACTAAAGACGTGGTCTTATAGTCGCACAGAAATATAACCTAGATATGAAGAGAAATCCTGAAAAGCCTTGAAAACGCTTGCCAGTGTGTCTGAAGTACTCTACGCGCTCAAAATGTTAATATTATTAATATAAATAGAAAGAGAGTGACGTCTTTGCCTTAATGCTTATAATTAAAAAGTCTTCTAGTTGCCCTCTCATGTGGCCTCATGTGGGCTTTTGTGTTACAATTCAAGTTCCAATTGTAATATCTTTGTGTTGGTATTTGTGAGATTCCCTGTTCATCCCGTTATCATGTTAATGTTCAGGCTTCTGCTACATTCTTTGCGCTTTAAATAATTGTATATTAAAGACCTGTCATTTAACAATTAGTGCAAGGGGTCATCAAAAGTATATGCTTAAGACATAGTCTTATGGGATCCTATGCCTTTCGGCTTTCATTTGATTGTCTGCAGGCAAATGAAATGGAGCGAATTAGAACTGATCGCATTTCGCCTCATTTAATTGAATTGTCAAACGAGCCTCCCAATTAATAGGAAATGCAGTAACTAAGACAATTAATGAAAGCTAACAAGAAGGCAGACAAGCAACACCGCAACGCAATTGAGTTGATTTACAAGCACTTGTACGAGTCGCATGTCCGCCTGGCGTTTCTAATTTACGCATTGGGTGAAATTTGCAACACATCCACACACACACACACGCACAGACACACACACAGACACATACAAAGAGAACTGGAAGAGCAAAATATTTTAACGAAATAAACGTTCACACGTTCGAGCGGAAAACCTCGGAAAAACATCGCTGCCAAACAAAGAAGTGGAAGTTGCGGCAACGTAATGATGGAAAACAATCCAAAGCCACGAAAGTCCGCCTGCAGGCCACAGTGACACTTCGACCTAATCAACTTTCGCTATCAAATAAAATGTTGAGACATGTTTACAATATTTGCAACATCTTCTCTTATACCAGTATGATGAAATTCAGCTTGTTTTTTCAAAAATCTGGAGAGGTCTGCATACCACTCTTCCCAATATTGGATTATAAATATTTGTGAGCTTCTTCAGGAACTTTTTATTTAATAGAGTGATGGATAAATATATAATATTATTGAAATTAGTGTTTGTTTAAGGTAAGCAGTTCCACAACAGCGAAATAATGCTTTATTTTTGTTTCGTGGAAACTTTATTAGAAGAGAAATAAAAATTCCTTCCATTCCATTCCACCATTCTATCAGGGACGAAAAGTTTTTATGGGAAATAAACTCCTAGGCAGCTGTAAATCCGCATATATTTTTGCTAGTTTTGTTGTGTGTGGGTTCATTATACTTGTAGGTCTGCATACCATTCTTCCCAATATTGGATTATAAATATTTGTGAGCTTCTTCAAGAACTTTTTATTAAATAGAGTGATTGATAAATATATAATATTATTGAAATTAGTGTTTGTTTAGGTTAGCAGTTCCACACCAGCGAAATAATGCTTTATTTCTGTATCGCGGATACTTTATTGGAAGAGAAATAAAAACTCCTTCCATTCCATTCCACCATTCTATCTGGGACGGAGGCAGCTCTAAATCCACACATATTTTTTCCAGTTTTGTTGTGTGTGTTGATAAATATATAATATTATTGAAATTAGTGTTTGTTTAAGGTAAGCAGTTCCACAACAGCGAAATAATGCTTTATTTTTGTTTCGTGGAAACTTTATTAGAAGAGAAATACAAATTCCTTCCATTCCATTCCACCATTCTATCTGGGACGAAAAGTTTTTATGGGAAATAAACTCATAGGTAGCTGTAAATCCGCATATATTTTTGCTAGTTTTGTTGTGTGTGGGTTCATTATACTTGTAGGTCTGCATACCATTCTTCCCAATATTGGATTATAAATATTTGTGAGCTTCTTCAAGAACTTTTTATTAAATAGAGTGATTGATAAATATATAATATTATTGAAATTAGTGTTTGTTTAGGTTAGCAGTTCCACACCAGCGAAATAATGCTTTATTTCTGTGTCGTGGAAACTTTATTAGAAGAGAAATAAAAATTCCTTCGAACATCGCTCGATTACCACCTGGGACGAAAAGTTTTTATGTGAAATAAACTCATAATTTGTTCTAGTTTTGTTGTGTGTGGGTCCATTATAGCGCGGTTCGACTGTAAAATTGTACACAATTGGCAAACACGGCATACATGCATTAATCTATTCATGCAGCAAGCTCCAAATACGTTCGTAACATAAATCCATTGTGTGACGAAGTGACGACGCGTCGTCCGGAATGTGAGGAAGTCACACTGCAAGCGGGTTTTCGATGCGCGCCAAGGTGCAATTAATGGGTCTCTGCACCCACAACGACAAGGGCACATCCTGTGGATACGTGGCAGGTGTTCGACTACGTGAGATACTTTTTGCTCTGCCCGCGTCGACTCTCTGCTGCCAATGTTACGCTGCAAGCGACTTTTTTTCTTCGTTTTTTTTTTGGCTTAGGAGTTGGGGACCTGGTCGTTATCGCCCGCGCTCGCTGCAGTTGATCGGCTTTGAAGACAGCAACAACTGTTGAAAACTTTTACCCAACGAAAGTGAACGTGTTGCAGTTGCACACACACACTTACACTCTCTAATGTGGCTCATACTGGTTGCTTCGAACGCCAAAGGCATTCGCAACTCGGTCGGCATCGTCGGTGTTGTCGTTTGTCGTTTGGCGTTTGGCGTTGGAGGCCTCGCCATCGTTTTTACCGTCTTGGGTGAATAACTTTGGCGATCGCTTGAACTCAAGTTAGGCTGCCAGCGACGCTTGCCAAAGTAACATCGGTAACTCGGGCTCTGCGACTCTAACGGGTGTTGTTGTTGTGTCTGTGCCGTGTCTGGATTTGAAAACTTCGCTTTGAACTTGTCAGCAAGATCCTAAGCCAACTACATGGTCATGCCCTGCATTTGTCTGTGGCAACCAATCACTAAATGTGTAACATAATTCATGTTTTACTCAAATATGTAAAGTCCTCAGTGCTTTGTGCGTCGCGTCTTTTCGTTTGGATCCCGTCCAAAGCTGCATCATGAATATGCTCAGCTCGATAAAAGTGCCTAAAAATTCACGTCGCAACTACTTTACTTTGCGTTTTCATCGTTTCGATATATTTCGCTGTAAGTCTTGCGCGATTAATAGATCAAGAACTGAAAGAAAGTAATTTATTTAATTAATTTCCCTTTCTTTTGTCTCTAACCTTTTTGTAGTCTTTCTCTACGAAAGGTATGGATTATAAGTTTTGTTTATCATTCTTCCATCTCCATGCCATAATCGCCGTCCGTCTAGGTGTAGATTTCGACAGTCTCTTATAAATCCAATTAAAAGTCGAAAAAATATGTATTATGTAGAGAAAAGCTGAGAATATTGTTGGACATCCAAATAAAATATTCGTAATCTTTGACTAAATAATTTTGAATAATTTAAGATTCTTGGTATTTGTTTAAATTGAATTTGTTAATTTGTCTATTTATGAAAAAAAAAAACAATATATAACTAATTTAATATAATATAATATTTAAAGCATTTACCAAAAATTACACTTCGACTTCGATTTTTTTCAATTTTTTTTTATTTTTTTTTTTAATGGCTGCCATATGAGTACTTGTTTCTGAGCTTTTGTTTTTAAATATTGAACTCTGCTAAATGAATTGATTGTAAATACCATTTGAGAGGCACAACAAAAAGTCGCTTTGATGGAAATTCCAGTTATTGTGCACTCAACATTTTCCAATGTCAAGGTGTCCGCAATTGAAAACCGATCCTCAAAAGTGGCATTGGCCGTCAATAGCGCTGGAGCGCACTCATAAACAACAAGATATGCACAAAACACTAAAAGCCACAACAACAGCAACAACAGCAGAAAGCGAGAGCCGAAAATCGTTAGTCATTGGCAATTTCTCCGTGAAGTTGATGCACAGGCACAAAAATTGACAGCAGCAAAGCAATTTGGCCATGTATTGGAAAAATCGTTGGGAAACCTGTGAAAAATGTGACAATATCAATTGGCAGCTCGGCGTCGCTCAGGCTGCTGGCGCTAGCCCCTCGCTGCCTCGCTGCCTCGCTGCCCCGCTGCCCCGCTGCCTCACCAAACCGGCTCGACTCGATTTGGCTTTTGATTTGTTGTTGAGTTGTTTGGCCATACAATGCCTCATGACAGCGTCAGCGTTGCATCGATGATAACGGCAAATGCAACAGCGGCGAGTCGCCCAAAAAGATAGCCACGTAATGACCGCCGTTGCTCTGTTTGGTAGTGGCTCCCGTTGAAACGAGTTGCCGTTGCCGCTGATGTTGTTGCTGTTGCTGTTGCAGTTGCAGTTGTTGTTGTTGTTGTTGTTGCAGTTGTTGATATAGTTGCTACAATAGCCGTGAAAGTTGAGCATGCGGCATGTTGTCCACAAATCGCATTGTGAGGATTTGTCGTCGCTTGTTGGCATTACAAAGAGCTCGGGCAATTAACTTTACAAAATGTACAAGTATATTCAAGTAATGACAGCGACGAATCGGCTCGCAACGTAACTATTTACTTAGTATGTGCGACTAGCAATGTTAGTTGCATTTACGTGACATTCCAATCGAGTTCCCAAATATATACCTAGGTAGTATAAGTAGTACTTAGTGTGGATATTGTTGCTAAGCTCGCCTCTGTGGGAAAAAAGAAGAGCTTATTAATTTATTTTTATGTTTGTTACCTCAGAACATTCGACTGGGTGAACCGATTTTGATGATTCTTTTCGTATTTGAAAGGTAATGCTTCCTTAGTATGGATATTGTTGTAATTCGTTTAACCGATTTAAGAAAAAGAAGAGGTTATCAATTCGTCTGTATTTTTTTATTTCTTCTTTTTATACCCTGTACCCGTAGGGTAAAAAGGGTATATTAGGTTTGTGCAAAGTATGTAACATACAGAAGGAAGCATCTCCGACCCCATAAAGTATATATATTCTGAATCAGCATGACGAGAGAAATCGATCTAGACATGTCCGTCCGTCTGTCCGTCTGTCTGTCCGTCTGGATGAACGCGAGGATCTCAGAAACTATAAAAGCTAGAATAACCAAAGTTGGCATCCAGATTCTCCTAGATCCGAGTAAGGACGAGTTTATTTTATTTTTTTAATTTTCCCCCCCTTCCCCCGCTACAGAATTTCGTCAATAGCGTCCACATTTCAAATGCTACCTAAACCAAACTTTGCACACATAATTTATATATAATTGTCTACTGTTGTTCAAAATTTTATTCAATTCGGTCAATTCTAAGAAAAGTTATTAGCGAAACAAATTCTCGCCAGTACAACCCCCACAAACTGCAGCAACAAGTTCGCTCTTCTTCTTCCTCTTTTTGTTGCTGCTTTGGGCGCATATAACTCAGTGACGGAAGTTTACCTGGGTACAGGGTATTACACTGTCGGGCTTGCTCGACTGTAGCGTTCTCTCTTGTTGATTCTGTATTTGTTTTTTTTTTTTCTGGTATTTGTATTTTTCCGTATGGTCCCATTTCAATTTGTTGCGGTTCTGGCGATGCCATCCATGAGAAAACTGTCCTAGACATACCTTGTTTTGTCAAAAAAGCTGACAATTCCATTCCTGCACAATCCTCGAAACATAATGTTATTTTCAATGACAAAAAAGCATTCACTGCATTAAGTCCGAAGTAGGCTTTGTTTGTTAAAATTTTACTTGTTGTTCATATTGAAATCATCGCAGACATCGACTCAATTTACATTCATATACTTGTAAAATATGTATTATTGATGGAGAGTTGTTTATTTAAAAAAATCAAACTAGCAACTATCAATTCCTATTTTATTTCAACGAAATGAATCTTGACTTCTTAATGGAAAAATATACATTTACTTTGTTTGAGCTCTTCTCTGCGCTTCTCACATCAAGTATTCCAGAGGTTTTCTTTTCTTGGGTTTGAGAAAGAACTCTGTTTCAACTCTGCTCTGATGTTATATTGACGGCCAATTATTTATCTACTTCCCGATTAATTGACCCATTTATGGGGTAATGCGATCAATGGCCAGTTGCTTGGCTCTACCTTAATATGTACTATATAGTATATGAGTTTGGCCAATTTCGTGCGCGTCACCCTTTACCCGCTTTTTCACCCACTCTGGCAGGTGAAAGGCGTGCGCTGCATACGCAATGAATTTGCTCAAGTTAGCATGACCAGAGTAGTGTCTGTTGAGATAACTCTTGAAAAGCGTTTTAAGGCCAGACTCATAATAAATAACCAGCAAGCTGCAAGAAGCAGCAACCAGCAAGCGAAATGTTAATGCTAAAATCTCATTAATAAATTTGTTCAATTTCAGCGAACAAGAAAGCCAAGCTATTAAATGGCAACATCAGCTCCGCAGCCGTCGTCGCCAGCGGCGGCGCATGCAACGCCAATGGGGAGCTGGCCAACGGTGTGCCCGGCGCTGCAGGCCACTACCAGCAGTTGCCGGCGCATCACCAGCAACATTCACATCAGCAGCAGCAGCAGCAGCAGCAACAACAACACAATGGCAATGTATATGGCTATGGCGAGGGTGGTCAGAAGCAGCGCAATCACTACCAGCCGACGCACTACCAGCAACAACAACAACAGCAGCAGCACCAGCACCAGCAACAACAACAACAGCAGCAGCAGCAACCCTATGGCAGCGGCTCCATCTATGGCGGCTCCACGGCAGAGGATCACTACGAGCTGCAGCAATCGCAATATGGATATATGGCTGCCAATGGTGGCGGCATCGCGGCAACAGGCATGCGCACTGGCGGCCCAAATCTGGTGAACAAGCAACTGGTGTTGCCTTTCGTGCCGCCCAGTTTTCCCAATAAGTCGCAAGACGGCGTCACGCATCTCATTAAGCCGTCCGAGTATCTGAAGAGCATTAGCGATAAGCGTTCGTGTTCATCGTCAGCACGGTAAGTGAAAAGTGGTCTAAGTAAAAGAAGTCGCCTGCGTTGATTGCGTTGATGTCGAGTAGCAAGCGATTTGATTTATTGCCAAGCATAGTTATGTGTGTGTGTGTGTGTGTGTTGTGTGTACAGTAAATACTCATTGCATGCAACTAACATCAATAGGTTGCAGCTGAAGTGAGTTTCTTTTGTTTACTTGTTAACTGACTGCCACTAACAAATTTGTTGCCAAATTAATTTCAATCTGTTCCTAAATGGTCTTTCAGATCTGAATAAGATAGAGATTATGGGAACCTAAGCTCTTTCAGTATGCGAAGTAACTTATTTGAAAAACTCAGCTCCTTTGCGTCTCGTATACGCAGCGTCTTAACAATATGGAAATAATGTTTTCTTGTTATGCAAATGAAATTTTAATTGTCTCTGCTGTCTTATCATTTGAAATCTCTCCCTCCCCCATCGATATATTTTGGCAATTAATTACGAAGTTGTTGCTTCGTAAATGTTCACATATTTGAGTGAACCATATGGAGATTTGACTGTACCCTCTGAGGCATGTGTGTGGCTTGTTGCTCATCTCGTGCAGCAGCAACATAATTACCTTGCTTTAAAGTGGCAGAGATGTACAGTTGCTCGCAATTAAGCACGAGCGCCAGCTTAAACAACTCATGGATGTGGCTTGGCAATTAGCAGGCAGACGTCTTCTCTGTCTGTCTCTCTTTCCGTCTGCCAGTCAATCAGTCAGTCAGTCAGTCAGTTAGTCAGCCACTTCCTCTGGCGCTGCGCCTCGTCTGCGTCGCTCAAGTGTGCATGAAATTTTATGCGTGCTGCATGCCAGCCACCGAGCAGACGGCTTCAGCGCCAACCATCGCTTTAGTTGCAATCCAACGCTGTGCCGAAGATGATACTGCGCACACGCCACGCCTGGCGCAGGTCTGGAAATCCAATACACTCACACACTCACACACTCTCACACACACACACACGCTGGCATAAAAGCTTACTTACGAAACATACGCGTAGCTTTGTTCAGTGAAAGTCTTAATGTCGATCTCTCTGTCTCCCTGACAGCTCCACGGATACGGAGGACTACATGCAAATCCAAATAGCTCAGCAACATCATCATCCCATGGGCATGGGCGAGCAGCCGCCGCAGCCGCCGCCGCCGCCTCCCTTGCCGCACATCATACCGCCACCCATGCCCATGATGTTGCCCCCGATGATCGGTCAGGATGGCAGCGAGGCGGGCAAGTCGCATAAATCGACAAAGAAGTCACACGGATCGGCGCCCAACAGCCAGGATACAGCCTCTCGCAAGCAGCATCAGCCGCTATCGGCGATTTCCATTCAGGATTTGAACAGCGTGCAGGTGAGTAGTGAGCTAAGACCGCACAGGACGCACTAAAAATTAACTGTTTTTTTTTTTTTATAAAAGTTGTTGGTAAAAAGTTTTCAGAAAAAACTCAACTTATTCGATTATAATTAATTCCAATACATTGCTAGTATTGGCAGCTGGATAGAAAACTATGCACAATAGTTTAAAATAATAATTCCAAAATAGTACATTCATACAAGTATATATTTACTTATTTATTTATATTTCCCTCTCGGCACATAGCTGCGTCGCACGGACACCCAGAAGGTGCCGAAACCGTATCAGATGCCTGCCCGTAGCCTGAGCATGCAGTGTCTAACGACCGGTTCGGATACTTATCTAAAGACAGATCTGATAGCGGAACTGAAGATATCGAAAGACATACCCGGCATCAAGAAGATGAAGGTGGAACAGCAGATGGCGAACCGGATGGACTCGGAGCACTATATGGAGATAACTAAACAGTTTACGGCCAACAACTATGTGGATCAGGTGAGTTGAGGGCGTTGGGGGTAGCCCGGTTGGACGGACTGTCATGTGTTTCAAAGATATACTTACAGATACCAGAAAAGGATCAGACTGGCAATGCCATACCCGACTGGAAGCGCCAGATGATGGCCAAAAAAGCGGCCGAACGTGCTAAGAAGGACTTTGAGGAGCGCATGGCCCAGGAAGCGGAATCACGACGTCTCTCCCAGATACCGCAATGGAAGCGCGATTTGCTCGCACGTCGCGAGGAAACCGAAAACAAACTGAAGTAAGTGTCGGGGTTCATTTCGGAGGGTGAGAGCACATTGTAGGGAGAATGAGAGAGAGAGAGAGCGGAGTGGCAACATGGCCTCTTCTCTGACAGCAATGTCGAATTTTCCAGAGCGGCTATCTACACGCCCAAGGTGGAGGAGAATAATCGCATTGCGGACACATGGCGGCTGAAGAATCGCGCCATGTCCATTGACAATATCAATCTGGCCAGTTGCAGTGGTGGTCTGACCATCGAACAACAGCATCAGCAGCAGCAACAACAACAACAGCAGCAGCAGCAACAACAACAACAGCAAATGGGGAATAAGGAGAATACCAACAACGGTGATGCGACGATCAATGGCGATCTGGAGCAGCAACAACAGCCGCCGCGCGATCCGCTCGATCAGCCGGAGGAGGATGACAGCGAGAATATTATTCCATGGCGGGCACAGCTGCGCAAAACCAACAGTCGTCTCAGTTTGATTTAAGGGTATTTGGGTTGTACGTATATACAAGTAGTACTTATGAGTGATGAGTGCGTGTTTCTGGGCGGGAAGCAGCTACGGGAGGGGGCCCTCAGACGTGGCATCGGGTGAAAGTTTGTGTCGTCATTTAAGTTTCTATAGTGCATTTTTTTTTTGTTTTTTTTTTTTGTGCAATGGCTTGTTTATTTAAATAAAGTGTAAAACTAATCTAATGTGCAATCATATTACCAATATAATACCTAAATACATAATAAATCTATTGTTAAGCATTACTTTAATAAACGCCCAATAAATTCCAACCAAGCGAACACGCAAGGCAGATTCTAGACCCAAAACTTGGGAGCATTCAAATGTGTGTGTATATTATATTTTTTTTTTTATTATTGTTATATTCATGTTAAATGTTTGGGGTAGTGCCGCAAAAAAATATTCATTGAACACCTATTTAAACGTATTCGGCGAATTTCGCTTTGAAATTCATTTCTGGTTATCATTTCCTTTTTCTTGAGTGCGCAAAATGAATTTAAAATTTAATTGATAATCTAGCGTAAGACATTTTTTTATTGTTATTTGTTTTTATACTTGGCTCAATATAATATACATATAAAATATATATACTTATAAATAAACGTACATACGGATACGCATAAAAATACATATACTACGCATATATAAACACAACATCTTTTTTAATTCATACTACTCGCACTCGTTGGGTTTTTGGAATATTTATATGGCAACAGGGATCCCCTTTTATCTGAACATAAATATCATGTTGTAGTTCATTTTATTGCCCTCCCAAATCTTGGTATCTTTAAGTTTAATACTTCCAATCGCTTGGATATATTGACTCCAGGCCCAACTGATTGGTATGGTTCGAAACAATTGGCATTTCTTATGCGTTTAAAGCTGGAACTTGCACAAGTTCTAATACTATATAATTGATTTGATTGAAAGTTTTGCATTCAAGTATTTTTTTTACTGAAGCAGGTGATTCTTTTCTTGTCTTGTCGGACAAAACAACCCAATATCAAACTACCAATCGGTCCCTCACCTGCTTTGCCGAACCGCTTTCGGACACTTGGGGGAACTTTTCTGTAGAGACCTATACAGTGCTGCGGATGTCACCTCCATTTCCGAACTAGTCCCCCTAACTGAGCTGATAACTGATATGGCTGCATTTATAGACAATTTGACGGCTCTGCTCCAATTGGTGATTCTTTTCTATACGCAAAAATATATTCCCATGCCGGCTATATCAGCGAAGGGTTGTTTTAATAATTTACTATTATTAAATAATATTAAATATAAATAAATATGATCTGATATTTCGGCTTTTGCTTGATTGGATCATACATGCATGAACATGACACACTCCCTGAATACAAGTATTTCAATTAGCGGCCGCCTGCGACCTTTATCCGAGTTTATTTCGATTAACATTTTGCTTATTCTTATTGTTGTTGGTGGCACGTTCGCGTGTTAACTTTTAAGGCCGCTTACAATTTAATGCCTTTAACTTATTTATGCATGCCGAACCTTCCGACTCGGAAATTTTCCTAAGTAACTTATGCGCCGAGCAGTGGGAACAGGACAAGACAACCTCAGCCTCAAACTCAAACTCAGACTCAGCCTCAACAGCAACTAACAACAACTACCTTCAAGAACAAGAACAAGAACAAGAAAAAGTCAAGTCAGGGCCCGCGTGCATTAAAAGTCTCCACATAATGAGCATAAAGTTTTGCGCTGCTTTTGCTTTCGCGTTGCTTGCTTTTAATTCAGGTCATTCCATGTTATTTAACATAAAATTTTTATATTGTGATAAATGACATTTTTATATATAAATACTTTCACACACACACACACACACACATATATATATATATATATATATATATATATATACATATATGTATACTCGTATATACTATGTATTTTTTGTTTTTTTTTTTTTTTGCTTTAGCTGAGCTCGCGTTTATCCTTGCTGGTTGCTGGCACGGCTGTCGCTGTTGTTAATTTTTAAAAAGGACGCCAACTGTCATGAGATGCAGCTCAGATGATAATGATGCTGATGATAATAACAATAATGCTGATGATGATTAAGATAATGATGAGGACGTGGCAAGACTATAACAAATGTTGTCTTTTTGTGAGAGCGCGCAAAGCATAAAATGCAAAACACTTGAAATGATGGAAATGAAGGCAACAAGAAAAAAGAGAAAAGCCAAAAGAAACGTAACGACAACAACAACAGCAGCAACAGCAACAGCAACAATACCAACAATGATGAAGATGATGACGACAACAACGACGCTGTTGGTGTTGATAATGACAGCGAAGACAAAAGCTCTGCCACACTCCACCCCCACCATCTAATGGGGCACCCCCTGCCGGCACAGTGGGGCCACAGCGTCCTTGGCTGGGTGTACGTGCGTGTGTATGTGTGGCCTTCACATTAGACTCCTGCACACCTCCACTAGATGCCTAAAGAGATCTTTAAACAATGCTACATCAAGCATTCCCATTCAACTGCTAACTAACGAGTGTGATCCTGATCCCTAGATGTTCTTTATACAGTTCTCGCAAATAATGCACAGCTCTGCTTCATCCAATTTCCATTCCGGAAAATGGTTAGACCATTAATCGAAGTCGAGCAGGTTAAATGCAAACAAAGCGGAAGGGATTCGTCTGTAGTTTAAAATAACTTTTCTGTATCTGTCTGTTAAACCTTTTCCATTTCCATTTAACTGAAAGTGAATAATCCAAGCCGATGTAAAAGAGCATTTATGATTTATTTTTTATAGCCTATCATCCCTGAAAAAGTCTTGGGAGAGTGGGTCGTACGTGTAAGTGGACCGTTGCTATGACAAAGGAGGGCCTGGGTTCACTATTTGGTAAAAATTTGCAAAACGATATCGATAGATTTTCATCCAAATACATGGTAGCTCCTGAATTATCGAACACACCACAATAGTTGGGGGCCGAGAAGAGCGTTACCAGTTGGCGCTTGGCAAAAAACTCATAGCCATCTTCGACAACTTGATGTGCGCGGACGACTAAATCGAAATCGTTTCTGGCTACGAAGTTATCGACTATATTCCTTCCAAAAGTAACGCTCACTCCACGAGTGTTTGTTCCCCAGCCGAATATGTTCTCCGGATCGGCCCAAACTAAATCGCACAGAAGCCCACTGTTTGGAATTCCTGTGGGCCGTTTTATATGATTGATCTGTTCAATGTTTGCCAGATGCGGACTCAGACCGCCATGGCAACAGAATATTCGCTTTGAGACTACTGCAGCAACTGGCATGCAATTATAACAGTCAACGAAACTCTTGAAGAGCTTGATTGTGAAGCGCCGCTTACACTCATCAAAGAAACCATATTCCATGTTGAGGCCCTCACTCTCGTGGTTTCCACGCAGCAGATAGAAGCAGTCTGGAAATTTCACCTTATAGCATAATAATAGTGTCATGACCTCGACAGAATTCTTGCCCCTATCGACATAGTCTCCTAGGAAGAGGTATCTCTTCTTTGGCGGCAGGCCGTTGTGTGTGAATATTCTGATTAGGTCTTCGAACTGGCCGTGTATGTCGCCCACCAAACAAACCGGCTCCTTTACACTCAAGCACATTGGTTGGGTCATAAAGGACTCGCGCGCCCTCATGCAGACTGAACTTATATCGTCAACAGACAAATTACTGGACGATCCTCTGCGCCGGGACGTAAGGGTTTGTATCATTTTATCAATTTTCAATAGTGTGTGTCCGGACAATGTGCTCCGGATGGAAGTTCCCTCAGAGTTCGCTTGCAATCGCCCGCGTGGCATTTTTTCAATTAGTTTTGGAAAATATTTTATGATCCTACACTTAGTTTAATTTAAAACATACATCAAAAATGATAACAAAGTAACTGACGCCTGCGACCTCCAAAACTATTTTTAAAATCCAAGAAACGGCTACTGCGAAACATTTCCACCCAACATTATGGAACAGGGTTCTTTTCGTAGCTCCTGCAGTACTCTGCTATCTACAGACCATTGACAGCAGCAGCTGCTACTAGCCCCTGCTTTAGTTAAATTGCCTGTCGTCTTTGTCGCTTGCTAGTAAATCAGCAGCTAACAAATGATAAAAATATATGTACAAGTATATACTTACAAGTATAAACCTTCATCCATTTTATATAAAACGTGTAAATAGGGGCAGTGTTGTTTTTGGTGCGCAGATACTGAAATACCCTTTACGGGTTAAACAACTCAATTAAACTTGTTATTCATTACTTCAGACTGATTTATCAGCGTACAGGCGCAAATGACTGAATATTTGAAAGGGATGTGCCTGAGAAAACTCAGACCGCAATTGGGGGAAATTTCGCTCCAGGAAAATTACAATAAATAACTGCCTGCTTTTAGTTTTAAAATCATTGTGAGAAAAAACTTAATTATAATATATTTTTCACAGGCTTACATATCAATAACAAAAATATATATTTTTTTTTTTGGTTTTTTATTTTTATTTTAACAAATTAAATCTTGTATACAATACTGAACTTAATAATAGTTTAACGAGCACTAGCGGCTAGCTGCCTTCGACTCAGACATTAATAATATGCCCTCTTCATACTTGTATTCTTCAACTCGTAATTTTCTTAACAGATGTACTTGTTCTACATATTCGCATATTATTAGCATTGCTTCAAATACTTATTCTTAAGTGTTAGTATAGTTTTGAAGGTTCTTATAAGTAAGCTATTCATGGGTTTTTGATTACATTTGCCCCCCGCTTTTGTTACATATTAGAAACTGACCGTTCACTCATAAACTGTAAAAACACACTTTATATACAAGTATAATCAAGTTGATAAGGTTTTATAACCTGTACTCTTTATTATTTACTAATTATGGATACTCACCAATTTATGTGCCAATTTTTGTGAATAAATGAAATGAAATATATAGTATATAGTAGAAGTACAATTGGGCCAGGATTCTCTCTAAGTTAATGAAACAAAAATGTCAGGCAAATAGTAAATGAGTATACTAAGCATGATGTTTATTGTTGAATGCATTTGTGATCAAATGCATGAATATTTCAATACCCTGTCGCTCCAGCCTTCGAGACCGACCGCCTGAAGTATGCCCAAGAACACGAGGTCCGATTCGTTCAGAGCCAACATCCAAAATCCAACAGCCAAGAGCCTTGCATAGTTTGTCAAGTACGAGCAGGCAAGCAAACAAGCAAACAAACGCATTGCACTGCAAATACTTAAGAGTTAAAGCACAAAGGCAGCAGCAGCAGAGCCAATGGGAGTGCTGGATGGCTAGCTTTGTACCCGTAAGGTACAGGGTGCGCCATGTTTTACTTGTATGTCGGTATGTAAACATTGAACATCTTTGAAAATAAACAACCGATTTTCAAGTATGAGATATTTTTATTTAATTTGGTTCTGTACAATTTCTTCAGACTAATTTTTGAAAACAACATCAATCGGTCAGTCGGTTCACTAATGACAAAGTCACTCAATATTTACATACCGACATAAAAGAAGGCGCACCCTGTACTGCTGAATTGAGCAATTGAGGAACTGAGGTATTTGGTGGGGAGGGTGCTGCTGGTTATTGCATTACATTACAGCAGCAGCAGCAGCAGCAGCAGCAGTTGCAGCCTTTAGATGCCAGTGTTCAGTCCATGCTGCCATTAGCAGCGGCAAATAAATAAACTTCGTTGTCGTCCCCCACCTCTCTACTTTCCTTTCTTTTCTTCTCTTTGTGCTTGCGGCCGTCGGGATTTTGGGCAGCACTTGAACAAGTGGCCAAATAATTACCGATAACACCAGTAGCGGTAACTTTTCATTGTACATTTCCTGTAGCGCTCAGTAGGTGAGTGAGGTGAGTGAGGTGTGTGTTTGTGGGTATCTGTATGTGTGTGTGTGTGTGTGCGTGTGTGTGTGTGTGTGTGTGTGCGTGTGTGAGTGTGTGCTGATGCTGGGCTTACATAAATTCGATTGTGTGTTGGTGTTGATGGGCATGTTGATGTTGGCTGGGATTTGAACGCTTGTGGCTGTTATTGCACTTGCCTAGAAAGCGATTTGCAGTATATGTCTGTGTGTGTGTTTCTATGTGTGTATGTGTGTTTGAGGGCATTGTGTTATGTCAGCTGGACAGTTGACTTGGCTGCTTTGTGTCAATTGATAGCATTTGGGCTTCAGTCTGTGCAGCAACTTGTTAACTCTCGACTGTGCAGGGAATCTTCTTAAATTTGATGCTTGAGCATCTGGAAGAAGCCAAAGGAGCTCACAGATAATTCAACTACATAAGTGGATGCCTAAATAGACGTATGTATGTGTATCTCTTTTATTTATTTATTCATGTCAACAAACATTGACGGTCGACATAGCAGGAAAATATATAAAAATTATAACAAGCATCTTATAAGCTAGCAAAGCCTAAGAAGGAGAAATCTAATCAATCTCATCTCTTGAGATGCCTCATTATGAAGCACATACTAAGTTGGTCTAATATAATTTTATTTTATTTTTTTTCCGATTTTGTAAAATACAAGTAGTTCACTATTTGGAGAGACTTACAAACGTTTGGTTAAGTTTTTTCGTTTTTACCTTCGTGCTGTCGAACTTCGCCATGTTATTAATAAAAATTCACATTTTAAATACGAAATCCTCCCGCACAACTGCAGGTTGACAAAAATATGTGTTGCCTGTCACTGTGATGCTTGACTGGCAGGCGCAGCAACAAGTGAAAAGCAATTACAACTTATAAATGGGTGGCCAATTAGTTTTGTAACCGAACAGAAAAAAAAAAAAATAAATAAACCATAACACATAATCACTCAGCAGAGGCCGCAGCTGCCCAACTTTATAAGCCACTGTCTATGGAACGTGTTCGTTTTGCGCGCGTGCATCCGCCAGCACCATCAGCATTACCGCCTTCCCATCCGCCAATCCGTATCCAAAAACCCCCCAAAAAACCCTTCCAGCTCCCTTCGTTGGGGTCGGCGTCGTTATCGTTGCCCTTGTCGTAGTCTTACCGCAGCACATAGCAATGCCAATTTATTTAATATTCCGTACGTGCGCGGCACGACTACTTCCGACTAGTGCTCTTCCATTGCCAAATGGCAAATGAATGGCAACACATGGCCACTGGCCACTGGCCACTGCCAACTGGTCACTGCCAACTGGACACTGCCAACTGCCAAATGGGTCTGCAGCGTCTTTTCGCCTCTCCTCGACTTTTTCAAATTTCTCACTCGAATGAGCTTGGCTAGGCGGTTTTACTTCTTTAACGATGCGCCACAGTCGACTAGGCACAGGACAAGGGCAGCCATTTCATTGTTGCCAGCGTCCCTGGAGCTGCCTATGGAATACACTGAGCGAAATAAAACAAGAAAGGAATGCTAAAGTCGAGCGGACTCAACTCTTAAATACCCTGTACCAACCCATAAAAAATAAAAATAACTTTATAAAAATTCAATTAATTCAATTAAATATCAAATATTCAATAAATAAAAACTTTGGTAGTTCCAGCTCTTGTAACTTCTGAGATCCTTGCGCTCATACAGACGGACGGACATATGGACTCGGCTTGTCATCCTATTCAATAATATATACGCTTCGTGGGGTCTGCCACGCCTCCTTCTGTGTGTGTGTTTTTTTTCTCTTATCACTGCTCTTCCTTATTTCCATTTGCTTTCAGTAGAAGTCCCAAATATGTCGGAATGGAGAATGTAACTTCTATTTAAATCATCCTTAAAAATAGATAAGTATGTTCGTAGCTAGTTAGGCTGTGAAATTATATTATATTTTTAATCTTATAAAATGCTGGCCTATAAACCAAATATTATAATTATTAATAAACAACTTCTGGGCTCTTCAATATAGTATTTTAATGGTTGGAGTTCGATATGAAAAGGTTAAGCAAATATAGACGTGTATTTTAAATGAAAAGGTAGTGCTCTGCTGATCTTTTCTTCTACTGGAGCCATTATTATTATTATTCGAGTATTAGCGACCTGTTCTGTTAAAGTTAGGGCCAACATTGGAGCTACAGAAGATTGCATCTGAACATAACCGAGGGATCTTTGAATGAGAGACTCGATTCCTTAGCAAATGCTCAACAAAGTTGTTGAGTTGAGAAACGATTGCCAAGGATTTAGTTGATTTTTGTAGAGTGTAGATGCGTGCCCAGCCATTTGTAATAACCAAAACCAAGGGGCTAACATATGGGGTTGGGAACCTAGTGCGGGGCTGACCCATCTCTATGGAGCAGGCATTGGGGCAGGAAAAAAACAAAGCAAAAAACGTATTGTCCTTTTTAAATATTCGCTTCTGACTGTAGCCAGCGCTCATGTGTGAGTTTTTGCGTGTATGTTGTGTGTGTGTGTGTGTTTGTATGTTTGTATATAGTTATGTATGAGGTATAGTACATAAAGCAGCACTTGTATAAACAGCTGGCTGGCTGACTGACTGGACAGGCCGTTGCTGGCTGCCTGCTTAAAGTAAAAGAGGATTCCGTCAAGGACAACGCAAGCGAATTATGTTCAAGTTTATATGAGTACATATGTATGTGTGTGAGTGTGTCTGTGTGTGTGTGTGTGTGTGTAGGCACCATCAGTCTTCACTCTTTTTCACTGTGTTCTCGTGCTGGCCCTGGCTAAAAATTCGCTCATATGCGACTCTTTGTGTTTGCGCATTCAAGTGCCGCCTCTGCTGTCTGTCTCTGCCACCGCTTCTGCAACAAAAACAAAAACAACAGCAACAGCTGTGCGTCGGGTCCTCTTCAGTGTGTCTCTTAACTGGGCTTAGTTCCTCCTTTTTTTCATATACACATACATATGTATGTATGTATACTATAT